GCACCGAAATTCGTGACATTTTCGTTGCTTCATGAATTTGGGTGCGATCTGGCCCATTGCCCCGTCGAGAAGCCCACCTCGGATTGGCTCTACCGGTCTATCCGCTGTGGGGGCGTGTATGCCAATCTGCTATTTCACGGCAGTGGGAGTAAGAAACCCTCTACACACGCAAAACGGCCAACCGCAACACGAATGTCAATGCCACGGAGATCGTGCGTCACGGACATGGTCCAAAACGGCACTCCCGAACCCGCGATCTTAATTTCACGGACACGGTGCGTCACGGACTCGGTGCGCAAAGCCGTCTTCAACGATAGACGTTCAACCCATCGCCTCATTGAGAGGCCGACTTCGGATGCACCTTCCTCTGGCGGCAACTGCCCGCCCTCACCCTCAGCCCTCCCAACGCCATCTGCTGTAAATAAGGACGGGCAGAGCGAGAGAGGGAGGGAGGGAGAGGAGTATTGGTTGGCTGGTGTACTGGGTTACGATGTAAAGAAATGCTCCTCCTAAGCACTGGGGAACCGGAGGAGGAAGAAGAAAGAGGAGGAGGAAGAGGAGGAGAAGTGGACGAAGAGGAGGAGGAGAGGAGGAGGAGGAGACGAGAAGAAAAAGAGGAGGAAGAGGAGGAGGAGGAGGAGGAGGAGGAGGAGGAGGAGGAGGAGGACCGCTCACCGGTGCGCCTCTGCTGCGCCGGCGGGGGCGCGCGGCAGCGCCGGGCGGTCGGGCCCCCCTGGCGCCGGGGCAAAAATGCTGGCCGCCGGGCCAGCCGCTCGAGAAGCTGAGGCGGCGGGGCGCGGCGCAGTCGCGGGCGGCCCGAGAGGAGCAAGGAGAGGAGGAGGAGGAGGAGGAGGAGGAGGAGGAGGAGGAGGAGGAGGAGGAGGAGGAGGAGGAGGAGGAGGAGGAGGAGAGGAGGAGGAGGAGGAGGAGGAGGAGGAGGAGGAGGAGGAAGGGAGAAAGGGGAGGAGGAGGAAGAGGAGGAAGGAGAAAGAGGAGGAGGAATGAGCAGAAGAGGAAGGAGAAGAAAAAAGAGGAGGAACAAGGGAGGAGGAGGAGGAGGAGGAGGAGACCAGCGTAAGAGAGGAGGAGGAGGAGGAGGAGGAGGAGGAGGAGGAGGACGAGGACGAAGACGAGGAGGAGGAGGTGACACAGCCTGGGAGCGCGAACGTGATCCGCAAGCGCCTCGGCCAAAGAGGAGTCACCCCCACGGCTGACGCGAGGGGACCATCGCTCGCTCAAGTGGGCAGACTCACCGACGAGCGACCAGCAATACATGGGACCAGAGAAGGGGGAGGAGGCCATCAGGTATTTCTGCATCACGCAACCCTGCCAGGCGGCAGGGACCGTACTCGACAGGCCCCCCCCCGCTAGTTCGAAACAAAATCACACAATGGCCTCGCCCGTCTTGGGGTTCAGCCCGTCCGCAGCACACTTGATCTCAAGAATCTGGGAAGATGTCGTGCTGGGATGTGTGCCCCTGCGTTTGCAATTAGCGTAGAACCCTCGACATGACCCGTCTGGTAGGATACAGTAGGCAGAGCACACCGAACAAACGAGGACGCGACCAGACCTCTCCATTCCGTGCTCGAGCTCCGAAAACTTCTCGAATACAGCAACATGAGGTTCAACATTGCCTTCCTGGAGCCCCTGGGCATCGTCGGCAAAACCTGACAGCAACCTGCACCGCCTCTGAAGCCATGGGGGCCGCCTCGGCACCAAACAATCTGAATGACTAACGCGACTGGAGTTTCTAAGACTCTAATAGCGCGTAGGCTCGATGGGGCCCGTTCACGGCTGCGCGAGTGAGGCCTCCGTCCGAGCCCGTTAATTACACTGCTTGTGCGTCGCTCCCAGATCTCTGAAGAAAACGATCCTATGGCCATGCGCCTAAGAGATCCGTGCATCTCAGCATGGGCACGGAGAAGCGCGAGAGCTTCCCCTCATCCTCCCACGCCAGCCTTTCGGAGTGTGAGCGCAGCCGTTCGCCAGGCTGAACTGCCTGCCAGCACGCGGAAAGAACGGGGGACCACCGATCAAAGCCAGGTCCTGATACCCAAGAGCTCAGCGAGGCCGACAGAGTTGGGAGGGAGACGGAGGAGGCGATAGAGGACTTGACGCTCGAAGCGGAGGAGCGGGAGAGGGAGAGGGAAGAGCCGGCACACATAGCTCAGTACCGAGAGAATAATACCAGAGTTGTAAGCTCTGCTGCTCGCCTCGGCGGGTGCACGACTCAGAGCCAACTGCGATGTTCGATCTGTCCACGTGGTGGCTGGGATCAGCCCCTGCGAAGCAAGCGAGGCGGCTGGTCCGAATTGGAAACCTAAGAACTCAGTGGCTCCTTTGATGTGGAAGACACCCCGTTCTGGCACCAGGTGGAGCAGAGCGGCACGCGTACGCGTACGTTCAATGAGCTCGGGTTCGCATCTTCGGCCAGCAGGACTATGCAGCACTTGGATGGTTGAAGGATGATACGAGCAAGATGGCGGACAGCGTCGAACGCAGGCTTGAGAAGAGGGAGAGTGCTAAGAGAGGAGATCCCGAAGAAAGGGGTCCATCCAGAGGGCCCAAGTGGTCCCCGAAAGGGGACAACCCTGGGCCACGCCCGAGGAAACCAGGAAGAGGGGGACCCTGGCGGCTCCGCGTCGGGAGTGGGCGAGGGCCCCAGAATAGAAAGGAGGAGGAGGCTGAGGAGGAGGAGGAGGGGGAGGAGGAGGAGGAGGAGGAGGAGGAGGAGGAGGAGGAGGAGGAGGAGAGGAAGGGAGGGAAGGAGGAGGAAGGGAGGAGGAAGGGAGAAGGAAGGGAGGAGGCGGAGGAAGAAGAGAGGAGCAGGAGGAGCGCGGGCTGCTCGAGGCCGCCAGGGGGCGCGGGCGCGGCCCCTCGAGGCCGCCGGGAGCCTCGGGGGGCTTCAGGCCAGACCGCCTGCCCCGAGGGGAGGGGAGGGAGGGATGCAGGGAGGGAGGGAAGGAGGGCGAGGGAAGGAGGGTGAGAGAGGAGGAGGGAGGGAGGGAGGGAGGGAAGGAGGGAAGGAGGGAGGGGGAGGGCGGGGGGAGGGCCGGCAGAGGGGCGGGGGGAGGGCCGGCGGAAGGGTGCACGGGGGAGGGCGGGGGGGGGGGCGGGGAGAGGGCGGGGGGAGGGCCGGCGGAGAAAGCGATGGGAGGGGTGCACGTCTTTCGCTGCTCCCCCCCCGTCCGCGGCGACGCGGCCTCATCGGTGGCCAGCGGTCACGGCCGCGAACTTCGGCAGACTGGGGGTGGGCCGCTCCCCCTGGCAGCTCCCACTGCACCAGCAGCCGAAAGCCCCCTCCGGCGACGCGGCCTCATCAGTGGCCAGCGGTCACCGCCTCGAACTCCAGCGTATGGGCCAGCTCCCACTACGTCTCGGGCGGGTGGTAATAGGGGGGGGCTTGACTGGGGGGGTGAGAAGGGCCCCTTTAGGGCCATGTTCTTCACCCCCGATTCAGGTTAATCCCCATTACCACCCGCCCGAACGTCGGCAGCAGGTGCCCCCTTCCGGCGACGCCGCCTCCTCAATGGCCTCCAGGCACCGCCGCGAACTCCGGCAGCTTGGGGGGGCGCTCCTGGGCCGCCACCGCCGCCGCCGGTGTCGCCGCCGCCGTCGTCGTCGTCGTCGTCGTCGTCGTCGTCGTCGACGTCGGGCCGCTCCTCCAGCAGTTCCCATTGCATTAGCAGCTGAAGCGAATCAGCGGCGCCCTCAGCGAGGACCTCCGCCGCACTGGCGTCCCCAGAGCCCAGCAGCGCCTGGCAGCGCCCAACCATCGTGCATCACCATCACCACGACCACCACCACCTCCACATTCATCTTCACCATCATCTTCATCATCATAACCATCGTCGTCATCATCATCATCAGCAGCAGCAGCATCATCAGCATCATTATCAGCATCATCATCATCATCATCATCATCATCATCATCATCATCATCATCATCATCATCATCATCATCATCATCATCATCATCATCATCATCATCATCATCATCGTCATCATAAGCATCAGCATCAGCATCAGCATCAGCATCAGCATCATTACCATCATCAGTATCATCAGCAGCCACAGCAGCAGCAGCAGCAGCAGAATCGTCATCATCATCATCAGCAGCAGCATCAGCAGCATCATCATCATCATCATCATCGTCACAGTCATCATCATCGTCATCGTCATCGTCATCGTCATCGTCATCAGCAGCATCGTCCTCATCATCATCACCATCATCATAGTCGTCAGCATCACCATCATCAGCACCGTCATCAGCATCATCATCATCATCATCATCAGCAGCATCAGCATCCTCATCATCATCTTAAGTACGATCATCGTCAAAATCATAAGTATTGTCATATGTGTTTTCATATGTATTATCTTCAACCTCATCAGCAGCACCATTAACATCATCAGGAGCAGCATCATCATAAATTATCCCGGCAAAGCAACCTAACAGCGATGTGTATAAGCATACCTGAAAGCATTCCCCTTAAGATTCAGGTGAGAATCCCGTTGTAGAATTCTGTTGTTCTCGCAGTCGCAGTCGCAGTCGCAATGACAGTCGCAGTGGCAACGGCCTTAGGATCCAATGGAATCCCAAGGATTCCTAAGGATTCCCGAGGATGCTTAACTATGCCTACGGATTCCTAAGGATGCATACGGATTCCTAAGGATTCCCAGAGATTCCTAAGGATTCCTATGGATTCCTACGGATGCCTCAACCTGCCCCAGTTTCAGCCTCAGCCTCAGCCTGCCTCGGCTTGCCTCAGCCTCAGCCTCAGCCTGCCTCGGCCTCAGCCTCAGCCTGCCTCAGCCTCAACCTCAGCCTGCCTCGGCCTCAGCCTGCGTCAGCCTCAGCCTCAGCCTGCCTCAGCCTCAGCCTGCCTCAGCCTCAACCTCAGCCTCAGCCTCAGCCTCAGCCTGCCTCGGCTTGCCTCAGCCTCAGCCTCGGCCTGCCTCGGCCTCAGCCTGCCTCAGCCTCAGCCTGCATCAGCCTC